AAGAGCTTTCCCAGGCCTGAGGTAAGATTAATGGGCCTATAGTTTTCTGGGTCCTCCTTTCTCCCTTTTTTGAAAATGGGGACCACGTTGGCTCTTTTCCAGCTCTCTGGCACTATGCCAGAGCACCACAAGTGCTCGTAAAGCTGTGCTGGGGTTCCCGCAATGATCTCTGCCAATTCCCACAGCACTCTGGGGTAGAGATCCCATGGAGAATGGAAAACCCAGATCCCTGGTTACGAGATGACTAGGAATTTCAGCAACACTCCTATTCGTTTAGTATAAAGAACATTGCTTAAATTTGTTTGACACACAATATTTAAAACCTCACAATGAATACATATTATAGAACAAGCAGGGGTGGCCAATCTGCAGCATATGTGGGACGGGCAGACTTTGTGGGTGTTAAGCAGCAGATCAGAGATCAGGCGGGCAGCACAGTAGCAGATTGGGCAGGGAGCACAGGAAAAAGCAGAGCAATATATTGGGTAGAGCAAGTGGCCTGTCAGTTAATTTCTGACAGGCCTGCCAAATAAGTTGGCCCCTATTGTTACAGAATATCAAAACAACAAGCAAATTAAGGCTGATTTTTTGAGGAGGAGAAAGTGTGCCAGTTTAACTTAAGGTGTATTTTTAAACCAATATACTTATTTCAGTGCAGCAAGCTTATTTAATTAGGAACAACTTTAAGCTAAATCAAAATCAACTGAAAAAAGGAAGTGCCTATCTAGCCATTTGCTCCAATTTAACTATTAGTTTAAAGTTACAACTTTAATGAAGCCAGTGCAAATCTACATTAATTAACTTTTAGTGTCTTGGTTAACCCTAGAATTTAATAATATTGCATCCTGGATAAATATAACCCACTAAAGAGATTAAAGCTGATACATACTAATTAGGGGTGTGCAAAGTAGCCAGATTTGATTCAGATTCAGCCCAATTTGGGGGACAGTAATTCAATTGGTTGATTTGGATCACTGTCCTGATTCAATTTGGCCTAATCTGAATTTGAAGATTTGATTCTGATTTGGAGAATCAGTGATTCTTCAGCCCTAGACACAGCCTTAAATGTTATTTCTACATACCTCAAAGTACCAGGTACAGTTTGTGAACGCTGAGATGGTGGGATGGATGGAGTGTCCCACAGGAGCACGGGGCCGGGGGGTCCCTATGTGCTCAGCGGCAGACCTGGAAGTGGATCAGAAGTACTTGTGGACCATGGGGAGACTGCAGGGATCACTTCTCCTGGTGCCCCCACTCCCCAGCCAGTGCTGTCATGGGAGAGCACAAGCACTCTTGCCTGCCCCCCCTGCTTGTTGCCTAAGCAGGGAACACTGCTGTCACGGGGTGCACCAGTGCTCTCAGGGGGTGCATGTACACCCTCTATGAGTCACCACTGATACAAGTGCAAGTAGCGCAGCACCGCGCAAAACAATGAACAATGCGAGACTGAGGCAACTGCATGATGGCATCACATACCTGCCTCATTCACCCTTTCACAATGCTTTACTCGCATCACTGCATAGCTGCGTTGAATGCTTCCTTGCATAAGATCAAATTTTTCTTGCACAAAGCAAGTTTCTGGTATAGATAAGGTCATCGCATATAAGCGAATTCACATAAAACAAATTTGCATAAAGAGAGACCCGAGTGTTTAGGAGTTTTCAAGAAATTAGGGGAATAGAAAATGAGAGCTAACATAAGGAATAACTGTCTTTCTATCTAGGCTTAGAGATAAGCCTGACTCCCTGGCTCCACTGAATTCTGTCTTCCTAGTCCCTGCCTCTATTTATACTTGTTCCCTGGTTCAAAGTCTAATTCGCCTTGACAGCCAATTCATTACCAAGAATGCTAGCTTTGAAAATATTAAGAAATGGAAATCTTAAATACAATGAGCCAGATCCTATTCCACCTATAAGATGTTTTGTCAAATGTACATTTTATCCACTTTAAAAGGGGAGGGGAAAGGAAAGGGCTGTTGCTTGGGAGGTTGCTAGAGCAAATTTTCCTAATTTTGACCCTGGATGATAAAATCTGGAGTGATTTTGCTACATTTGTCTAACTTCAGAATCTCACAGCAGTAACAATTACATCATAATAGCTTGTATTTGGGCATTTGACAGCAGTGCAATAATTGGGCACGTCCCCACATGGAGAGGCATGCATTTCCAGGGACACAAAAAACAGCAGCACATATTTGTGCCACTGCTTTGTGCACCAGGGTACACCTCTGCATGTGTGCTCCAGTGCACGCCAAAGTGTCCCAGGTGGGGGTAGGGAGGCTGAGGCCAGCTCCTGTGCTGGCCCAAGGTACACATAGGTAGGTATACACATACCTTTTTCCTAAGGGCTTCCCAGGGTAGCAGCAGCATGGATCCTGGCTGGCAGGCAGAGTGTGGCTCTGGACAACCAGGATCTGTTTCTTACGGTGCATGCTGCTGCTGCATGAACTGCACTGAATTAGTGGTGGGTTTTTTATTTTTTGATACCAGGATATCCCGGTATCAAATTTTGGCACCTCACTGCAAATTTGCAGCAGGCATATATTTGTACTTTTGCTGTGTGCAGTTTGCAGTGCCACAAACAGGTTGGCAGAGTTGCAAGTCTCACGTGCACACTTGCCTGGAAGCACCCATTATATCTGCCTGTATTCCATATGAATTTAGGTGCCTACGTATCATCCTAATCCACCCTGGTCAAATACTTGAACATCCTTCATAGTTTCATAGTTTCTAGGGTTGGAAGGGACCTGAGCAGATCATCTAGTCCGACCCCCTGCCGTGGCAGGAAGAGTACTGGGGTCAAACGACCCCAGTAAGGTGGTCATCCAACCTCCTCTTAAAAACCCCCAGGGTGGGAGCCTGCACCAGCTCACTTGGAAGCTGGTTCCAGACTCTAGCCATCTACTCTTATAATCCATCCTGCATCCAGTTGTCATGGAATGGGGTCCTTAAGGATGGCTGTGATCTCCCCAAGGCCCCTTTACCGTGCCAAGTTGGCCCAATGGGCCCCCTCTATTCTCGCCCCCCATGTCTTTGATGGAATGATTAATAGGGAGGCTGCTTTTAAGTCCTCTTGGACAGTCTTGATTGATTCTCTGGACCCTGTGGGTTTCTGGACCTCTGGTGTGTCCCGCTCCAAAACAGATGTCACAATGAGTGTTTTGGGGAACCCTAGCCTTATGGGCTATGCATGGCGCCAGCCACCCCTTTACAAAGCCCCAAGCCTTGTAGATGGTACCGATGTTGTCCAGTCTAGGCTTTGTTGTAACTGGGCCCCCTTGTCCTCCCTGGGCTGTCTGCAGCCCTATCTCGCTCTGCACCTCACCGGTGCCTGGGTCTGTGCACCCCAAATGCCATGCCCTCTCTGGCACTGGGGTCTGTGCACCCCAAATGCCACACCCTCTCTGGCGCTGGGGTCCCCACACTGCCATGGGCCCCCAAGGCCTCCTCCTTCCCCAAATAGCCTCACCCAAACCACTGGTCTCATAAACAAAAATCAACCTACAAGCCCCAAGGTTATAATATAAATTCAAGCCACCCAGCTATAACACCATTCAAGCCACACCAGGGGTACTCCATCCCCCAACAGTATCAGAAGCTGCACCTGCAGTCAGGCCTCTCCCTTTTGCTTGCTCTTGGAGAGCTCCTTCCCCCTTAGCTGCTGGCAGGGAACTACCCTCCTGGCCTCAGCCCTGGGGTGTATATATGAGGCAGGCCCTGCCCCTTCCTGCCAGCTGCTGCCACTGACATTTTTTTTAAATCTCAACTATTTTTTGTTCTCACCTTTCTGAGGAAAAAAAGAACAAATTATAGAATTTCCATCTTCTGTCACTCAGTCTTGGAGGATATGTGACAAAGTTAGATTGGGTCACCACAATGGTTCCTTCTGGCTTAAACATTTATGAATAACACGGTGTGTCTAAATGTGTGCTTTAATGCACATTATCTTATTTTAATGCAAATTAAAGTATCATGTATAAAACCATGGGCATTTATACACATACCTTTTTCTCCTGCCATGCACTGGAGATCCACGGCTTCAGAGCAGATTCAATTAACTGAATCAGTTGTATGAGCAGTAAAATGTGCGTCAGCATGCAGAAAATGGGGGCAGTATGTGTTTGAACTACAGCACGTTCTGCGTTTTAGTTCAAGTGGGCCACCACCGTTTTCGCAGTGCTGACACACATTTTGCTCCTTATACAACTGTATGTGTTGCTGCACCAGGTGTTCTTCAAAGTGTTCAGCACAGTGGCACTTGCATATGTAAAAATGCCCCATGCGTTTTACTTAATGTGCATTAAAATAGGCTAATGTGCATTAAGCATCACTTAAAAAGCATGTACTTTAGTTAATGCCCATTAAGGCTGGCTAATACTCATTTTCCTAGTACTTCGCAATGGTGGGTGTCTATTTCCAAGTGCAGAGGCTGCTCTGATGCTCTGTAATTACAATGCATTGGAGCAGACTTGATTAATTGAGTCTGCCAGGGTGTGGTAATTACTGCACTCCAGCCAGCCTCCACATCTCATATATCAGCATTCCCATGCTTCAAAATGGTGGCAGGGGTGCTTTATCTAAAGCTTGTCAAAAAAGCCATTTTAAAGCATGGGGACGCTGATGCATGAGACGCAGGAGGATGCTGGGGCTCAGTAATTACCACTGCAGCAGACTCAATGAATCAAGTTTGCTCCAACACGCTGTAATTACAGCACGCTGGAGAATCCTCCCAGCACATCAACAGGCACCCCTAGTGCCTCCTCCAAACTCTGGAAGTCCTGCAACCTGGTTTCCTTTCTCCAATTCTGTGCGAATTGCCACACCAAAAAAAACAAAAAATATTTTAAAATGTCAGAATTGAGGAGGCCTTGTGAGCTTCTTGAGCCTTTGGTTTGGCAATACTGAAATCTTCTTGTCATCTAATGTAAACCAGTCTAGGCCTGGGCTTTTCATGCATTATAACTTCAAGCTGATGTAATCAGGAAAGCCAGTGACTTTTTTAAAACTGTTAACCCCATCAGGTGTCAGGGGTCTCTCACGTGAGCTTTTGGCTATACAGAAAATGAAGGCAAGACTAGATAAAAGGAATCCCTGACCCCAAGCCCATGATGACATGAAGCCCTTATGGTTTCATCCCCCATAGCATGGCCAGCTTGCGCCTCATCACTGCCAAATCAATCACTCGGAATATCAGTGGCATGAATATGCTAGTTATATTGTTATTCAGAGCCTGCTTCTCCACTCACATAGTTGTACCTTATGAAATTCCTTTCCTGGTTAATATGGGTGCCTTGGCTTGCCTCAAAAGCAGCCTTGAAACTAACAGGATCTAGTTAGTTTAGGGCTCCTAATAGCATAGCGCTGACAGAAGTTGAGATGGGTTAGGTCCATTTTATAATTGCCAAATGCAGCCATTATATGTGGCTTAGACTATACCCGAATTGAGGATGGAGTTCAAGAAAAAACAAATTGTTGCTCTGGGGGCTCACCAGGGTATTACACAAGGTATGGTAATCCAGCAGATAGGTGTAGTAGAAAAAGAATATGTGAACCAGAAAGCTCTCTCAGATTATCTGTGCTGAGTAACCCATCAGGTATAGACACTCCTCAGATCATGATTAACAGCAGTTGAATACTCTTTGAAGTAAATGTCTATGTCTTTTTCTTCGCATGAGGAAAAAAAAGAAAAACAATCACTATACCAGTGTAGTGATAACGAGTGCTGGAAAATATCTGTTCTGTGGACTCCATCACTTGTGGGTACAAACTGTGTACTCCTGTGTACCTTAGCATTTGTTCCAAAGATTTTAGAGAATCAGCTCAAGGAATCAAGCTGACTTTAAGTGTGTGGGATTTGTTTGGTTTTTTTTTTTAAAGTGCAGTAAAACTCACCATCACGAGAAGCATGTTGCCTATTTTAGCCTAATATTGTACTGACATAAAGGCAAGCCACTTGTTTTTTTCAGCCAGTCAGTAATCTAAGGATGTGCATACGCCTCCTCTGTGACAATCATGAGACTGTGCCACTTGCTTGCTTCTGCTCCCCAAACATCACTTGCAAAAAAGTGACATGCACTTACTTTTTAGAGCATGCCTAGAATCGCAGTCTCAGACACTGAGGGCAGTGTACATCTGGTACCACTCCAATGACAACCATACACCTTTTCTAAAGCATTCAGCATGTGCAGACCTGGAGCAAACAGGCGTGTGGTGGCATTCTCAAAATTGCTGTGGAGACATACAACTATAACCTAGTTTTTCCCTCTGTTCTGTAAAACCAATGCATGTTTTGCCCAAACAGTGCAGAGATGGGCCTTATCTATGCATCTTTTTAATCCTCCGAGTCACCTATATTTCAACATTTATAACTTTCTTTGAAGTGGTCTCATTCATGTATGACCTTCAGTAACGTCACACTTTTAGAGACACATCCAGTACAGAACATTCCATTGTAGTTACTAATCAAGCGCGACTGAACTAAATGACCTCTGGAGGTCCCTTCCAGCCCAACTTCTTCGACTTCAAGCTGCAAACATCACACAACTGATGTATGGTGCGTTTGAGCTGATGATTCATACCCTTAAAAAGAGATTTGCATCTTCTTGCTTGTACTGCTATTTAGCCTCTTGCCATTTATATTCCTGTAAGAAAGTAACAGATGCATATATATATTTTGCTTCTACAGCAGTTTTCATTTTTTTTTCTTCACAACGCACACCTACCAGGAAAAAAAGGAAAGAAACTTCTCTTTTGGTATGCGAGGGTACCAGATGTGCACAAGACAGCAAGAAAAGAAAACAAATGGATCAGAAAATCCATGAAATACGATGAGGGCACTATTTCCCCTGCTTTCTGACCCTGAATTTGACTAGGGCAAGGCTAGGGACAAATGGTTATGTGAAATTTGCATTGTAAGCAGAACTGCCAACCTTGAATGCTCTCAAAAAATGAGTCAGGCCCCCAAATTAGGACAATCTTTGAAAGCTCCTTTTCTATCAACCACAAATATATTTCGGATTTTTATTATTTATTAATTTGCATCCTAGTGTCTCAGGCCATGAGGGCATTCAAATACCCAAGAGTGAGGAATTGATTATTGTAAAGATGGAATGCAAACATCTCCGTGCAATCTCCACCCCTCCCCCTGCTTTTTTTAAGGAAAATTGTACGTCCCCCAAATCAAATCAGCAAAAATCGATTCCAAATCCACGAGTCATTCAAGAACCATATGTGGCCCTGCTACTGGCAAGCACCCTCCACCCCCAGCTGGGCTTCAGATGCTTCCAAATCCTTTGGCAAGCATCCCACATGCGGGCCCAGGACTGGAGGCTTGAGGTTTGGGTGCCCCCGAGTTTCGCTCACCCTCAGCCGTACGGCCGCAGGACCAAACTGGGGAGGAGCCTGCCATTCCCATAAAGTTGGCGCATAGCTGAGATCTTTCTGCTAGAAGCAAAAGCGGGAGGCTAGCTATGCGTGACCTCGGTCAGGGTACCTACGGCCCCCTGCCAAGAAGGCAGCTTTCCCCCTGCAACTAGGAAAACCAGCTTCCCGGTCACAAGGGCTGAAGAAACCCAGGGAACACAGAGCACGGCAGGAACGTGAATTTCTCCACGCCACACCGATGGGAAACCCGCACCGCCATAAATGATCTCTGCTGCCGCTCGACGGGCGCTCCTGCAGCAGGGGGCTATTGCCCACCTGCACCCCCACCCCCTTCCTCCCTGTGCTGGGGATCTGCCCCGACGCATCAGCACCTCCCAGGCCAAAGGGCTGCGGGAAATACCAGCCGCAACCCGCGGGAAACACAACGAAGTTGGGGAAGGGGGGGCTGGCTGGCTGGCTAAGGGTCCTAGCGCGCGGCTGCAAGGCCCCACCATGACCCCTTCATGCGCACGCCACACTGTTCGCTCCCCCCTCCCAGCATGCCACGCGCCGCCCGGCTCTACGGGATACAGTCTTTTTTCCCCTCTGTCCAATCCCCGCCCTCCCCTGCGATTGGCTGGCGAGGGGGCGTGGCCTGCCAGAAGCGCGCGCGGCTTGAAAGCGCTCGCAGGCCGGCTCGCGCGCGCCGGCCGTTCCGGTCGGAGCAGCCCCTCCCCCACCTCCGGCCGGGTACGTGGGCGCTCTCCCCTGCCCCCCGTCTCCCCCCCGCAGGGCAACGGGGCGCCGCGCTGACCGGCTGCTTCGGCCCGCAAAGCCATGGGCATCGCGGGGCTGCTGCCCTTCCTGCGCGAGGCGGCGGAGGAGGCTCACGTGCGGCGCTACCGCGGCCAGGCCGTGGCCGTGGACACCTACTGCTGGCTGCACAAGGGCGCCTACGCTTGCGCCGAGAAGCTGGCCAAGGGCGAGCCCACCGACTTGTAAGTGCCACCGTTACCCCGGGGGGAAGGAGTCACGTCCTTAGTCTGCGGCTCCCAAACTCTGCCAGTGTGCACACCAGGAGTGTAAAACGGTACAAGCTTAAGCCCCTCCCCCCTCGCAAATTTCTGGCCTGTAAAGTAATGATAAGAAATCCAGGCCAGTGGTTCCCAACCTCTTTTGTACCACGACTGGCTTGTAAACACTGCTGGCTAGTTTGGACCCCCTGCCCCTCACTCCCATCCCCCTGCCCCTGGTGTGTGGGCAAGGGGTGCAGATTGAGGCCGCCCCCAGTGAGGGAGGGAGGGAGGGAGTGGGGCAGGGGTATGGGAATTGTGCCCATTGGTGACGCATAGGAGGTGCACGCGGGGATACATGCAACCTCTGCAAAAAGCCCTCCTGGCAGGTGGTCGCCACTCACCGCCCAGAGGGCTGGGGAGCCAGGACAGCTTCAGTATTGCCGGCCTCCCTGTGCGAAAAATCATGAGACAAACTCTTAAAAACTGAGAGATTTGTAATGTAAATCATGTGATGCTATTTTTGAACCATGTGTTTCTGTGGTTCCCAGGCCAAAGGCAGCAGGATGCAGCGTCCCAACCTGCCTCTGCCCCATCTGGGGGGGCACATGCTTCCCCCAGCCACAGGGCCCCATTTACCCCAGCCCCTGCCCCACTTCCCTCCCTTACCATGGGGGCCTCAATTTGCCCCCCTCTCCTACCCCTTCCCTCTCCCCCCTACCCCTTCCCTTCCCTTCCCCAGACTTTCCAGTTTGGTGCTCTATATGTGTGCTAGAAGAAAAAGTCTTGAAATTTGATCTCTCTATCAGGAGATCTTGAGTCAGAGTTAATTTGGCTTGGAAATCAGGAGTTTCATGATTTTTTCATGAGAGTTGGCATTACTGGACTTCTAACGCTGCTCTTTTGTGGGGGGGGAGGGGGGGAAGATATTGGAGGACATAAACTTGGGCAGCAAATACATGGGGAGTGGCTGCACCTTAGTGGAACAGGACCTGGGTAGTGTGGACCAGGGAGGATCCTGCCCTGGAGTGGCATCACTTTGAGCTGCATAATGAGTGCTTAAAACCACCTTAAGGTGTCTATGTGGGGACAGTCCAAGGATTAAGAGCTCCAGGAACAGTTGCAAATTAGCATGTAACAAGACCCTAACAGTTCTCTTTCCTCAAGCTGGGTCCTGGGAGGAAGCTTGTCCCACTGGGCAGTGAAAGGTGCGTAAGTAACTGCACTGAGGAGGAGAGGCAGTGGCTGTGCCTCTGCTCTGTGAGCTCGGGGCCTGTTGTAGAGAACGAAATAGATGTAAAAGCCAGAGAGGGACCTAAGACGGGGTTTAAGGAGAAACTAGCTAGAGACTTGCAAGGTAGTGATCAAAATTAAAAGTATGTTAGAAGCCAAACAGCTGCCAGGGAATCGGTTGGACCTTTGGGATGAGCTGGGTGTAAAAGGAGCACTAAAGGGTAAAGGGGTCATTGCCGAGAAGCTAAATGCTTTCTTTGCATCCATCTTCACTGTGGAAGATGTTAGGGAGATGCCGTCACATATCCACTCTTTTCTAGGAATAAGTCAGTGAAACTGACTCAAACTGAGGATTCAATAGGTGAGGTCATAGAGGAAACTGATGAACTTAAATGGTAGCAGATCACCAGGACCTGCTGCCATTCACCTTAGGGTCCTGGAGGAGCTCAGATTGGAAATTGCCTAACTCCTCACGGTAGTAGGCAACCTATCATGAAAAGCAGCCTCAGTACCAAAGGACTGGAGGGTTGCCAGTGTGACTCCCATATTTAAAAAGGGTTCTAGAGGGGACCCAGGGAACTACAGGCTGGTAAGTCTGATTCCCATTCATAGAAAACCGATAGTAGTAATAATAATAATAAATTGTTCAGCACATGAATGAATATGACTTGCTGGGGATAAACTAATGTGGCTTTGTCAAAGGGAAATTATGTCTTGCCATCCTACTAGAGTTCTTTGAGGGTAGATTGGGGTGACCCAGTTACTTTAGTATATCTGGACTTCCAAGAAGTCTTTGACAATATCCCCCATCAGGCTTTTAACTAAGTTAGGTAGTCATGGGATTACTGGGAAGGTATGATTGGAGATTAGAAATTGGCTTGAAGATGGAAAGCAAAGAGTGAGTATAAATGGTCAGTTTTCTGAGTAGAAAGAAGCAGTCAGCTTCCCAATCTGTGCTGGGACTGATGCTGTTTAACACTGATGAATGATCTGGAAAAGGGAGTGAGTAGCGAGGTGTCCAAATTTGTGGATGACGCAAAATTATTCAAAGTGATAAAGACAAAAAGGTGGACTGTGAAGAACTACAGAACGATCTGGCACAATTGAGCAAATAGGCAACTAAATGACAGGTGAAATTCAGTGTAGATGAGTGCAAAGTGATGCACCTGGAAAAAATAACCCAAGCTATACCTACACTATGATTGGCTAGATATTGGCTGTTCCACACGGGAGGGAGATCTGGGAATTGTTGTGGACAGTTTACTAAAAACATCAGTTCAGTGTTCAGCAGCTGGCAAAAGGGCAAAGTGTTGGGGATTATTCGGAAAGGAATTATAAACAAAACAAAGTATCGTTGTGCCCCATTATAAATCCCTGGTGTGTCCACACCTTGCATACTGTGTCCAGGTGTGGTCCTTGCACCTCAAAAAGCATACAGAACTAGAGAAGGTACAGAGGAGGGCAACAAGGGTGACTGGTGTGGAGGGGCTTCCATATGAGGAAAGATGAAGAGGCTAAGTCTACTGAGTGTAGAAAAGAGATGCTTGAGGAGGGACATAAGGGTTGGGTTATCTGAAAAATCATACCTGTTACATTCAGCTCTGTTACCCACTTTTTAAGGCGTTTAGGATTTACTAACATCTGAGAATAGAATATGTACATTTCAGACATTTAGGGGAAAATCTGGAAGTCAGCATCTACACAGTAATTATTATAATGTGCTTTGGAATGGTTGGCTGGTTTGCCAATTTTATTGTGTGATAAATTGTTTGAACGTCTGACATGTTACCATTTATTGCACAATATTTGCCTGATAAATGAGGTTCCTGCTAGGAGTCTTTGCAATGGCAAAATGACCCCTCTGTCCATAAACCAAACCAAAGCATGCATCTCTATACAAATACTGCAATAGGGAGATCAGTGGACTAAACAATATGAAAAGCCTAGAATTCCCTACAAATAGCTCTCTCTAAGGATGGGATTAGGGCACAGTGGTGGGTTGCTCCATTTGTACTGCTGTTTTATCTCCTTTCCCTGTAAGGCAGTGGTCAGAAATCCTTTTAGGCTGTTGGCCAGGGTGACTTGGTTTAGGTCAGAGGCGGGCAGATGCTAGGACCTAGCCACAGCCAACACTTTTCCCTGCTGGTGGCATAGGGAGAGTGCTCACAGATAAAGACCCAGTTTGTGCTGAATGGTGATGAAGCTCCATGTCCCAGGCCAAATCAACTGGCTCTATAGGGTGGATTCAGCCTGTGGTCTGTAAATTGCTACCCTCTGCTATAAGGCGTTGTTTACAGCACTGTTATTGGCAAAGTTATTCCCTCATGGTTATAATCTCTTCTTTGTCTGGGTACAGGTAGATACGCTGTATTCTGTAGAGGCAGTGTTTCATGCTGCTTCATGAAGCTCTAGTTATGCAATGTTTAGCAATCATTCATCTACAGTCCTGTCTGGTTGGATGATTGGTTAGTGCCACAGAAGAGGCTTCACACTCTGCCCCTCAAACTCCACAGTATTGATTATTTTTATTAGCATCAGGAAAGGATAAATCAGCATGGTTTTCTCCACTCCATTTCATCACTTTATACTATGTATATTTGGCTCACTCAAGTCAAAATGATGTTTTGTACTATAGTTTGTAAAGTTTGTCATGTATGCTAGGATTTGTCTAATTAATATACTTGCATTTAAGAGACAAGGTACAGTAGAATCTGGATTTTTATTTTTTTTGGTCAGGATGTTTGTACAGCAGGTAATTTGTAGTTGGTTGCCAAATCAAGCATGAGCTACTCAGTTGAGCGTGCCTCCTCCCTGCTCAGATGGAGCACTACGGTGATCCCACATAGTGGTTTGCTGTGGCCATTAATACCCAAGCTAGTTCACAAACCTTCATCATCTTAAGGGCTAGGAACCCCTAACACTGTGAAGAATCCAGGCATATTAGGTATATTATCTATTGGAGTAAACAGTATATCCAACAATACCATTCAGAGTGGGTAACGCCATTGGATTTGAAAG